AACCTGAATGGTCTCCTTCCCGCTGGTTTTTTCACTAATTTCGTTAATTGCATCTCCATTCACAATCTATACGAGGGACCGTCGAAACGTCGCAACACTCGAAATTATCGATGTTCCCTGGTATATTAAATTACGAGGGCGCGTCGAAATTAAATCTCGAAAGTGAGATATTATCTACTTATCAACGTTGTCTATGGTGTTAAATTTACGAGGGCGCTCCGAAAGTGATAATTACGAATCGCCAGGTCATTCCTTATTGCATCTACATAATTATTCGTTATTGTACGTGTGTACGAGGGCGCCTCGAAAAGATCCATATCCGAAATGACAATATACGGCGAGAGGAGAGTAAAGAAAGGATATGTATAACGTAGATAATTTCCTCCGGCCGGGAATTACCTTAATTTAATATACCGAGAATGGTTATTATATTGTCTGCGAAATTGCCGGGAGATTACAACCTTCGAACGGACTAATGGCGAAATCTATAATAAGAAGAACCAATAACCGTGGCGATTTTTAACGCTATAAATGCGATGATTATTTTAATGCGGGGTCCCCGTTTGACCTTTGAAATGTCAACACGATTTCCACCCGACAATCGAGCCGGAAAAATATATTTTATAACGTAAAATGTCACACGGGAATTATCCGCCGTATCTACCGACCGCCCCTCGTATGTACGATTTGAATTGTATACGAGGGAAGTCGACAAAATACTCACTTAAATATTTCATCGAATTTTTTGGACGATTTAACAAGATTTTTAAGGCCGTTAAAATATGATGTTTTTTTTTATATCTTTGATTAAAGTGTTAGATTATTTTTCGGATGATTTTTCAAATTTGAATTTTCAACGATTAAAATGCATTTCACGTTTTCGTATCTACCGATCGCCCCTCGTATGCATCGATTTGAATTACGAGGGAAGTTCGACAAAATACTCACCTAAATATTTTACCGAATTTTTCGATATTTCGGACGATTTTAAAAGAATTTTAAAGCTGTTTAAATATGAGGATATTTTTTTGTGTATAGAATGTTTTATTTATTAAAATGCATTTCGTTTTTTACGGGGGTCGTTTGATAAATACATCACTACATCCCACGACACGTTTATTAAATACCCTCTTCGTTTGTGTATCAATCGCCCCTCGTATGTACGATTTGAATTGTACGAGGGAAGTTGATAAACTACTCGCCTAAATATTTTCCGAATTATTCAAATTCGAATTATTAACGATTAAAATACGTTTCGTGTTATATACGAGGGTCCTTCGATAAATACATCACTATACATCCCACGACACGTTTATTAAATATTTCTCTTCGTTTGTGTGCAATTATCCGCAATTTAATCAACAAAAAAAAGGTGTATAATTATAATTGGTACAGCCGAAGTTGGCGTAACTGTGTTTATTTTTTTTTAATATTTGCTCCTATTAGCCGGCTAACCGTATAGAAAGTGGATCGACGGTCTTTCATTTTCATTTTAACGCGTACCTATATATGGACGATGAGGAGATTACAAAACAGCGAAATTGGCCGGAATTATCCTCCCCGGACCGGGACCTACATTTCGTTCCGTGGGAATGCATTCGATCCAGTTATACAATTTCACTTCCACTCGTATATACAGGCGATATAAACGCTCATTAAGGTCCTATTTTCGAATCGCTCCGCGCGGACAGTAAATTGAATTAAATTACACGATAAATTATACCAAACATAAATCAAATCATCGGTGACGTCACTAAGAAGATTTACACAAGTTTATTAGAGATTGAGCTATCCTTTTTAATCGTTTAAAATTCTTGGATTCTGATGTCACAACAAGTTTAGATGAGATTGAGCTTTCCTATAATCGTTATTATTTTAGTGTTCTTGGGATATTTAAATAATATTCCTGCTGACGTCACAAAGATAATTTACACAGGTTTATATGGGATTGAGCCATCCTTGAAAGTTAGAAAATTCCGGATTATACGCAATAATTAGTGTTACAAATTATCGGTGACGTCACTAAGAAGATTTACACAAGTTTATTAGAGATTGCGCTATCCTTTAATCGTTCAAAATTCTTGGATTCTGATGTCACAACAAGTTTAGATGAGATTGAGCTTTCCTATAATCGTTATTATTTTAGTGTTCTTGGGATATTTGAGTAATATTCCTGCTGATGTCACAAAATTGATTTATACAGGTTTATATGGGATTGAGCCATCCTTGAAAGTTAGAAAATTTCGGATTATACGCAATAATTAGTGTTACAAATCATCGGTGACGTCACTAAGAAGATTTACACAAGTTTATTAGAGATTGAGCTATCCTTTTTAATCGTTCAAAATTCTTGGATTCTGATGTCACAACAAGTTTAGATGAGATTGAGCTTTCCTATAATCGTTATTATTTTAGTGTTCTTGGGATATTTGAGTAATATTCCTGCTGATGTCACAAAGATGATTTACACAGGTTTATATGGAAGTGAGCCATCCTCGAGAGTTAGAAAATTCCGGATTATACGTAATAATTCGTGTTACAAGTGATCGATATCGGATGAGTCTGGACAATTGGAAATATACACGAAAAAAAAACTAATCGTGCATGAATCACTGCCCGAGGAATCGTCCGTAAAAAGTAAAGCACGCCATATATCAATCATGTGTTTATTTTTATGCGTGTATTTTTTTATCTTATATATTCAATTATCTCGTTGTCATTACAACGTTAAGAACGGCACGAAGAAATTATATACAGGGCGATTCGCGTAAGAACCGAATTTCGAGCTCCGCTGTGATATGACCTTTGACTTCTCAGGTTAGCAAGTTAGCATTAAACTATAGTCCGTTCGCTATCAGGATCATTGCCCATTGTTAAACTCTATCTCTATCTCCTGCTGGCGAACGGAGTATAATATAATAATAACATTTTTAGGTTTCTCCCTTTCTCCCTGTATTTAAAGGTACGAATTTGAAGATGGAGAATAGAGAAACGCCGGCCGGTTTATCGGGAAATCGTAATTATTTATTATTTATGAGGATTTATTATCGGAGGAGAGTTTGCGTTGGTTTTTTTTTTCGAGATCGTTATCGCAGATGAGAATATTTCCGATCTACATTGGGTATCTGCGCGGGCAATCGGTTTTGGATTCGATCTTTATCAGTGATTAGAGATGGACTGTTACGAAATAACGTAACGGTGCATCTCTAATATACACAAAAATCGCTTATTGAAAGTGGGATGAAATTATGAATGGAAGCATATAAAATTGTCTGCATGAGAAACGTGAAAAATTATTTGGAACAGTTACTAATACTAATATAATTGCATAAAAATCGGCCAAGCAAAATAAACTGATTCTCCACCAAAAGTTAAGGAAGTTGGCATATATTGCGATTATTTTAAAAGTTACAGACTTTTTGATCGCCAAATTTTCAAATATGCGAAATTAAATGTTTTCTCTCATATTTGAGTGGATTTTTTGTCCCTATACCTCTACAATTCATACTAAATTTGGCGATCAAAAAACCTGCAAGATTTAATCTCAATTAATCTCAATATTTGTGAATTTCCTTAACCTTTGTGGAGCAGTATATTTTAAAAATCGCTATATATTCCTCTAAAATTTTTTTAAAAAATCGTCTAATTATGCTAACTATCGGAGGTTTTTAAATTGACTTTTTATTGAATTTTTTAATCGAAATTTTCATTTCGAACGTAGTATTGAACATTATTTATTAAGAAACATATGTATGTAGGTAGATGAAGCTACTCTAATTATTATCGTACATAAATCAGGCAAAATAATCTAAAAATCACCAAAAAAAAAATCATCCAAAATCCACAAATATAACCACCTAAAAATCACAAATAATCCCCAAAAAATTATAGAAAAACAAACATTTAAAAACTCACCAAAACCAATCACATATTCCAACCCATCCTACACCACAATAACCACACTCACTTTTCCAACGATTAAACATAAAAAAAAAACAAACAACATACCAAACGCCTATAACACAAGCGTTGATAGCTTTATTGTATCGAAACGAAACTCACCGATGTTTCTATAACTTACATGCAAAATGGAAACGATCCGTCAATGTAGTTGTATAGTATTTCGAAATTAATTCCGCGTCTCCGGTTATTTATAACGGCCTTTCGGGCCGTTTGTTTTACGTTATTCTCGCTGCTCAAAGTATAAAAGGGCACTACCAAAATGTATTTTTATAACACCTTTATTCGTTAACAGTAACACCCCAGAACAAAGTAACAAAGTGACTAAATTGCCACATCATCGACTTAAAAACTAACCCCTAGTTACGTGTGCAGAAAATGCAAGGTTTTATTGATAAGAAACGTATGGTGGAATCTTGGAGATTTCCAAGGAATACTTATTATAAATTTTCTTTGTTTTTTGTATTTTATAATATGTAATCATTTTATTTGAATTTAGCTCTTGATTTGTTAACCCGTATGGTAACCCGTCAAAATAGCCCAATGACAAACTAGCCTAATGACTAAATCGCCCAATGACAAACTAGCCTAATGACTAAATAGCCCAATGACAAACTCGCCCAATGACAAACTAGCCCAATGACAAAAGAACCTAAAAGCAAAATCGTCCAATGACTAAATAGCCCAATGACAAACTCGCCCAATGACAAACTAGCCCAATGACAAACTAGCCCAATGACAAAAGAGCCCAATAACAAAATAGCCCAATGACAAAAGAACCCAAAAAAACAAAATCGTCCAATGACTAAATAGCTCAATGACAAAAGAGCCTAATGACAAAATAGCCCAATGATAAAAGAGCCCAAAGACAAAATCACCTAACGACAAAATCGCTTTGAAATTAGCTGGGTTTCTCTGTTATTTTGTCATTAAAATATCCCTTTGAAGTTTGATGGATTCTCATTGCAAACAGTTACACGTCGGCTGTCACATGTCAACTGTCACGTGTCAATTCAAACGTTCCGTTTTGTTGGTTGCAGTCGTTCTTCGGGCGAACGTACAACAACATCAGCTCGATATCGGAATGCAAGAACAACGGCCAATGCGTCATCAACAAGAAGAACCGCACCGCCTGCAAGGCATGCCGCCTCAGAAAATGCCTGTTGGTGGGCATGTCGAAGAGCGGCTCGCGCTACGGCAGACGCTCCAACTGGTTCAAAATTCACTGTCTACTCCAGGAGCAACAACAACAACAACAGCTACAGCAACAACAGCAACAGCAGCATCAACAAACCGGTACGTGGAATATTATACTAAGATATAAAGGTAAACTTATTGTTAGTACCAGTTATGACGTCACGTTTGGATTATGTTACATTTAGTATACATAAGTTATGACAAGTATATAGATCATTCAATTTATTTAGATCGTGACGTCACTGCTGAATTAAAAAAAACCATACTATATACGAATTCTACCAATTCTATGATTTCAACAATACATTTTTGTATAAATGAATCAGGAAAAAGACATCATAAAGAAGCTATACAGTTAAATGACGTCACATCTTATAGGTATAGTTCGTTCAATATCCGTAGGTCGTGACGTCATCGACGAGTTAAGAATTTACGTTTGTATAGTATAGTATACAGGATGTTTCTATATTGCAGGTTCGAACGTAATGGCGGCGGCGAACCTGCTGCGACCGCACCCCTATCTGTCGCCGCTGTTCAGGCACCACGCGACGCCGACGCCGACGGCGCCGACGCCGCCGCCGCCCCGCCACACGCACCGCTCCTCGTCCGAATCGGACAGCGGCGCGTCGTCGGCCGATCCGGACGACGATCTGCGCTCGAACAGCGCCCTCAGCTTCCTGAAGCCGTCGGCGTCGCCGGAGGACTTCGGCGCCAGGCGGGCGCCCGCCTCGCCGGCCAGCGACCACTCGAGCCGGCGGTTCGCGCCGTCGCCGCCCTGCAGATTGCCGCTGGCGCCGAATTGGACGGCGGCGGCGAAGTCGGCGCCGGCGCCGAAATGGGCGCCGGACCAGGAGGGGCCCATCGATTTGTCGGTGCGGTCGCGGAGCGCCGCGTCGTCGTCGTCGTCGGACAGCGACGGCGAGACGCACGTGGACGTCGGCGTCGACGAGCCGGTCAAGTCGGCGCCGTTGGATCTGACGCTCGCTAGACAGGCGGCCGATGTGGCTAATTGAAATGAGGGGAGGGAGGGGGGAGTGCGCGTGCGCCGTGGTGTTTTTTTCGAAAAAAGAAAATTTGTTTTTTTTTTTTTCTATAATGTTCTGTCGAGCGATTGCGTTGATAAAACTAGTGCAAATATTAGGTAGACAAATTGTTGTTTTGTTTTTTTTTTTTAATTTGGAATTTTTAGGCTTTTTTTTTTGGTTGATTAAAGAGGTGAGTAAATGCAATTTATTTATTAAATTTGTTTCAATGGATGTATCGATCTGTTCTGCACTATTTTAAACTGTTCTGAACCATTTTTAACTCTTCTGAACTATTCTGAACGATTTTGAATTGTTTTGAACCATTTTTAACTATTCTGAACTATTCTGAACGATTTTGAATTGCTTTGAACTATTTTGAACTGTTCTGATCTCTTCTGAACTTCTTTAAACTAATTTTCAATTATTATGAACTGTGTATTTTAAATATTTATAAACTGTTCTGAACTATTTTAACTTTTCTAAATTATTTCAACCGTTCTGAACTATTCTGAACTATTCTGAACTATTCTGAACTATTCTGAACGATGTTGAATTGTTCTGAACCATTTTGAACTATTCTGAACTATTCTGAACTCTTTTGGACTGTTTTGAACAGTTTTTATTTCCTTGTTCGTCTCTATTTTACTGAGATGTTTGGAACTATTCAGAACTGATTTCGAATTTTTCTGAGTGCGATAAAATTCATAACAGTTCGGTACATTTATTTGGAACTAAATAATTTTACCAACGCCCTCTAGATTGACACCACTGAAAATTCTGAATTACAAAAGAAAAGTCACAGATGCCTAAAATTTAAGTATTTTATTTTTTGTACAGTTATTACGAAGGCCAGTGTAAATAAATAAAAAAATAATGTGTATAAAATTTTATATTATATTATTTATATATTTTTTTTTATGAATATATTGTATTGCTTTGTTAAGTTTGATATTTGATATTGTGAAACAACAACATAAAAGTCGAGTGTAATTTATGCGTCGTCTCTCTCTCGCTCATTTTCTCAATAGATATTTGAATTTTATTCGGGTTAAACGAAACCGGGGAAAATTTAATTTTCCCAGTGTAACTAGTAAATCAATCGGTACCTGATAAATCGAATAATATTAGATGAGAGACCGTCTCGGCTATACAGGGTGTTAATTAATTGAATGCCGATACTTCAGGATGTGATTATTTGGATGATTTTAAGAAGAAAAGTTTATATCAATGTCCTAAACCTCTTAGTTTTCGAGCTACAAAATTTTAACACCCTGTAGCTCGAAAACTAAGAGTTTTAGGACATACATTGATATAAACTTTTCTTCTTAAAATCAATCAAATATTCACATCCTGAAGTATCAATTAATTAACACCCTATGTTAGGCAAATAATTAACGAGTTTCAAACGAATAGAATTACAAATAAATAAATTGTCGTGAAGCGAGTGAACTTGTATACATGGCCAGTAAAGAAGTGCCTTTTATGTTATGTAATTTTTATATTTCGCTTTAATTAAAAGTATGTTGTGTTTTCGAGCGACTTTGTTTCATTTATAACCTCTCGAAAAATATCCAAAAATATCCCCATTCACAAAAAAAAACAAACCGATTAGATAGTACTAATAGTGACATTTGGTGTCAATAAACTTACAAATGAACCATCATAGCTTTACAAAACGCATTTGCAAGTACATAAAACTCAAGTACCAACTTCGGTACCACCTACAATTTAGTAGAATCATAATTTTACGTAGTACTTTTGATATATGCATAGCCCAACCTTTTAGCACCCGCAATTGGCAAAACTCAAGTCCAAACTCACATTCGGTACTGCCTATATAAGTTTCGATAAACTCGCGGTACCGTTAGGTAGTACCACTATTCCCCGAAACGTCCCGATTTCATTTGCAACCCAACGCAAACGCACAAAAAATAAATAAATAAACATAAATAACCAGTCGTAGCTCGTACGTTATACGATCTGCAGGTAAGTACCTATCGGTACTATTAAGAATCTATCGTCACATCGGTACATGTATACTAACAGCTCGAGTTCGAATGCATTTCCATCGTTGAAAAAAACCGATCATGAATAATAACGTACCGTCTTTTTCCTATCGCTTAAGTGCCTTTTGCTCCGTTTTTTTTGGTCCTTCGAGGATATTCCTTGCACGTGTTTCGAGTTCGCGTTTTACGCTCGCCTATTGACTAATGTCATCGGTTTTTTTTCCTCATTGTATATACGACGTTCATGTTAACTTAACGATGACGTCACGTTTAGTTTTTATTTACTTAGTATACGCGTTTTTATTCGGGGAAAATTGGGTATTTACGAATTTATGTTACATTCCGTCTCCCTCTCTCTATTACATCGGTCGAATAGGCTCTCTCCCTCTTACACATGGCGTAAGTGCAATTCCCGAAATTCCAGATACTCGATGTACTAAAGCTCGACTAGTAAAAGGCCAAAACGGACCGTTTAGAGGGCAATTTAAACAGCATTTAACTTTAACGATCGCGTTAAACAGCTCCATTAAATCGGGATTCGGATATTAATAAAATTAGTATTCGTTTTATACGTTAGTGTAAATTCAAGGTGTGTAAATATATTGATGAAACTCGAGTGTAATTGCCTGTTTATTTTTGTATTTTTATTATCGAGTAATATACCTACACTGTATCGATTTATTAATCGATATGCAGGTATCGATACAGAAGATCCTATAGAAGGATCAGAAGGATCAAAAGAATTGTAGGTATATGCATATTGTCCTTAGATTAGAACAATAAAGAAACTATTTTTTTATTAAAGCAGCGGCATGATCGACTATCCTTGAAGAAGGATTGTTTAGAGTCCTTAAATTACATTAATACAACAGAGAAGTGTAGTCTATGGTCCTTTATCCTTGAAGAATTAGAGCTATTTATTCAGATTCATCATTATTTATAGTCCTTAATATAGCAATCCAGGAGATATCCTTATTAAAAGAATTAAGCCAAGCATATATCTCTTATCAAAACCAATTGGATTATGAATATTTTTGGTTAATTCATTTAGTATTTTGGCAATTTTAATAAGTATTTTGATAATTCAAACATTATTTTAACAGTTTCAATGAGTATTTTGATAACTCGAGCAGTATTTTGGTTAATTCAACAAGTATTTTGTTAATTTAAGCCAGTATTTCGACAATTTAAATGAGTATTTTGATAATTCAAACAGTATTTTAACAGTTTCAATGAGTATTTTGATAACTCGAGCAGTATTTTGGTTAATTCAACGAGTATTTTGTTAATTTAAGCCAGTATTTCGACAATTTAAATGAGTATTTTGATTCATTGAGTATATTGAATTCATACAGTATTTTAACAGTTTCAATGAGTATCATTATTTAGCGTCCTTAATAGAGTAATCCAGGAGATATCCTTTTATTAAAAGAATTAAGTCAGGCATAGATCTCTTATCAAAACCACAATCTATGATATATCCTTAAAAAATAATCATTTAGAATCCTTAGAGTAGAACAATGAAGCAGACAAATACAGTCTATGATTTATAAAATGAATACATTGTATATTGTGTAGTTATTTTTCTGAGTGTATAATAACGTATAGCCGGGTTCGGAAGGCTCGAGGGAATCCTCTGAAATGAAGACGGACGCGTTTCGAAACCCAAGCACTTTTGCCCACTTCAGATCCATTACACGGCGTCCTTGTTTGGTCTGATGGTAACTACTTCATTTTACATATTATCGATATATTTGTCTTTCTATGGCCCCGCGTTCTTTCACTGACTGACTGAGCGATTGAACGATAGTTATGCGGCCGCGACACGAACCCCGAAACCGGACACTAAATGGAAAATATCGTGCATATCAAATGCATATAAAATGCATATTAAATGCATATTAAGTACGTATTAAATGCACGTATAAAATGTGGAGAATTTAATCTAATCGCACGCCCTGATTTCGTTCGGCGAAATAAGAACGATTTCATGTACGAAATCGTTAAGGGTATTTTTAAATGGGAAAACATAGGTTCATTAATTCCAGTAAGATTCAAATTTGGCTTTATCGATTTATTTGAATCTTTCTTATTTCTAATATAGAGACTCCAAGCAATGATATCTCCTATTTTTAATTTCTACTACTTTATTATATATTTAAGAAAATTGAAATCAAAAACTGCCATTTATTTGCAATTAATAAAATAACAGTTGTCAGAGTGAAAAGTTGCAATGACACAAATGTCACTCTTTCCTTTTCCTTTATAAGTGTCTAAATAGAAGTTGTCTTTTTCGCACCTACAGCCTATGTAACCTACGTTGCGATCTGGAATGAAGCACAGTGTATAATTTAATACGTCACAAGTATAGCCAGTGTTGCCGAACTTTTATAAAGTCTACAAAATCTAAGAATTTACAAAAATTATCAAATGACAAAAGAATTAACAAATTGAAAATTATCAAATTGATATAATCGCGTTTATGAAACACACACACAAAGAGACAGACAGAGAGACAGAATGTTCCAAGAGCAATGAGATTTCCAGTTTTTCGAATAGTATATTTCAAGCCTGAATAGGTACGGGCATGAAATATGGCCGAAAGATTATCTTTTATTGGCCTATGAATACGGTAATATATTACCGACAATGAAAATGGTGGGCATCGATGCCCGGTACAACAACTTGTATATTATACTTATACGTGTACGGTACGTACGGGATATATTCCTCGGTAATATGTTCTTCTTTCTTCTTCTTTCTATCTTCTGACACGTCTTCTTCTTCTTCTTCTTGTCGCTTTTAAATCGATTAATATTTGTCGGAAAATGAAATATCTGTTGTTCATTGAGCAATGATAAATGTTGAGCAATGATATTTTTGTTAAATCTTAGTAGGCTTGTACGTATTTTCTTTTATTTTTTTAAATGTAACCAATTATTGGATTATGAGTATTTTTGCAGGTCAATTCATTCAGTATTTTGGCAATTTCAATGAGTATTAGAGACAATTAATGAGTATTTTGGGTCATTTCAACGAGTATTTTGATAATTCAAACAGTATTTTGGCGATTTTAATGAGTATTTTGATAATCCAAACAATATTTTAACAGTTTCAATGAGTATTTTGATAACTCGAGCAGTATTTTGGTTATTGCAACGACTATTTTGATAATTCAAGCCAGTATTTCGACAATTTAAAGGAGTATTTTGATAATTCAAGGCAGTATTTCGACAATTTAAATGAGTATTTTGATAATTCAAACAGTATTTTGGCAATTTCAATGAGTATTATGATAATCCAAACAGTATTTTAACAGTTTCAATGAGTATTTTGATAACTCGAGCAGTATTTTGGTTATTTTAACGAGTATTTTGATAATTCAAGCCAGTATTTGGACAATTTAAATGAATATTTTGATAATTCAAACAGTATTTCGTTAATTTAAGCAGTATTTTGGTAATTTCAATGTGTATTTTAGCAATCCCAATGAGTATTGTACTCAATTAATTTCGACCATTTTAATGAGAATAACTATCCAATCAAATATCACTTGTCACATGTCAATACAAAACCCAAGATACGAGTATCTAAATGAAAAAATGCATATCTACGTTTAAAAAAATAAAGAGATAGATAATAGGCGGAAATGCGACGTGTATATATAATTTAGATATTAAAACGATTAAGATAAGATGTAACGTCAAAATCGGCATAGGCGAACGAACGAACGAACGAATCCCGTAGGTATATTTCCCGCTCGCAAATGGTTTGATTTATTCGCACAAAAGCCGAGATCCGATGTTTCGATAAAAGCCGGTGTCAAGTTGCACGTCGCCCGTAAATTACTGGCGCGAATTTTACCTCTACGTCGCGATATTTTTATTTTTTTAATCCCCCACCGTCATCTATTTACTGTCTTTTTTTTTTCTAGGTACTCCTTCTTCCTGTACTTCTTCTTCTTCTTCTCATTCTTCGTTTTCTTCTTCTTCCTTTAGCGTTTCGGGACGAGGATATGTGCGATAAATCCCGCGCCGTCCGAAAAGGCCCTCGTCGGAAAATAATTACTGGAAATTACTTATTCGTACGTAGATTAATGCAATAAAAGCTTCAGTCGCGCATTAAAATTTTGAATTACTGCTCGATTACTGGCGAAATAAATTACGTTTGTTTGTGTAAATATCTGTGTACGTGTATATGCATGTGTATTTGAATATTTTAAAATGCTGGGCGTTTCTGCTTAATGTATTTAAGATACAGGGAAATTATTTACTCGAAATATTTTGTTTCTTTACCAAAAGTATTATTGAATTACTTCTCTAGTTATTATTGTTTTGCGTACATTGACTCTCTTGGGCATATAAATGACTCTCTTGGGTACATTAGTGACTCTCTTGGGCGTATAAATGACTCTCTTGGGTACATTAGTGACTCTCTTGGGCGTATAAACGACTCTATTGGGTACATTAGTGACTCTCTTGGGCTTGTAAACGACTCTCTTGGGTATATTAGTGGCTCTCTTGGGCATGTAAATGACTCTTTTTGAGACACAACGGCTCTATTGATGGACATATAAATGACTCTTATGGGCAAATAAATGACTTTTTTGGACACATTAATAGCTCAATTGGGCTCATAAATGACTCCCTGGAGTATTAAAATAACATTTCTTGGACATATCGAAGACTCTACTGGGCTTGTGCTCAACAAACGACTTTTTCGAGTGCACTATAACGCGCGTAGACAAGAATTTCGTTTATTACCGACTAAATTATAAATCGGTATTTTAATGAAACGAAATAAACTTTCGAAGGTCTACAGGCGTGGGCGGTACGACCCGAGAACGACCGATATTTACATTTAGGTACCTACTCGTGTAGAAAAAGAACTCGAATATTCACTTCCTGATGCATTTATGCACCATTTATTATTTTTAAGGCATTTTTAAGAGTACCAGAGTACCTATAATATAACTCACGAGCAAAGTACTGAATCCGATAAATATATCTAGCTGTTTTTACGAAATCAAAGTAGTACTCAACGTTCTCTAAGAATCG